GTAGGAAAGACGCTGCAAGGAAACCTCTTAGGGCCTACTTAATGATAGTCAAGCTAAGAGTATATTTCAGGAACAACTAGGAAAACAGTTAGGCAGCCATGTATGTGATGCCCACCCCGATGCAGCATGGAATGATATCCGAAAAGCTGTGGAAACAGCAGTGATATCTGCTAGTAAGGTAAACCGTAAGGTTAGGGAGCAACACTGGATCTCAGCAGCATCTATCGCACTGATAGATGCTCGGAAACTCATTCCACCTGGCTCTGAACATAATGAAGAGCGGAGTCAGCTTAAGCGCAAGCTGACAAGAAGTCTACGCAATGATCGTGAACAGTGGTGGGTAGCGAAAGCAAGAGAGATGGAAAAGGCAGCGGCAATAGGTAATAGCAGACAATTGTTCAGACTCGTTAAGGAAACCGGAATTAGGAACCCGACCGTTAGCGAAACAATCTCAGAGAAAGATGGACATATTATTCATTCTCAATCCAGGAGATTGGATCGATGGGCAGAACACTTTAGGGATCAGTTCAACTGGCCTTCAGCCACACTTCGGTTTCCCACGATCTCCAGTCAACCTGAATGGCAAGTTAATGTAGGTCCTCCGTCCCTTTACGAAGTTGAAAAAGCCATAGGAAATCTGAAACGAGGGAGAGCAGCAGGCCCTGACAGGTTTACTCCTGAGATTTTTAAGGATGGTGGTCCAGTATTAGCAATGAGATTAACTGAGGTCTTAGGTAGAATTTGGGAACTGGACGTAATCCCATCTGACTGGTCTCAATCACTGATTGTGCCAGTCTATAAGAAAGGACAAAAGTCCTCTTGTGACAATCACAGAGGAATCAGTTTGACTAATATAGTGTCTAAAATATTAGCTTCAATAATACTTCGACGCCTAATCAAAGCTCGTGAAGAGCAGATTAGAGAAAACCAGGCTGGTTTTCGACCTGGACGTGGTTGTATAGATCAGATATTCACACTACGTCAGGTTCTAGAACACAGACACACATTCAGACGCCCCACAATGGTAGTATTTCTCGACCTTAAGGCGGCATTCGACTCTGTTGATCGTGAGGTTCTATGGCAGTGTTTGTCACTGAAAGGAGTACCAAAGAAGTACATTAACCTTATAAAGGCTCTCTACTCGAACACAACTGGTAGAGTGAGAGCTTATGGCGAACTGTCATCAGAATTGATTACCTCAAGTGGTGTTCGTCAGGGCTGTCCACTCTCCCCATTCTTGTTCAACTTTGTGGTCGACGTACTTTTAGAGATAACACTCTCCTCATCTAAATTTCCAGGGGTTGAACTTCTACCGGGAGGTTCACTTGTTGACTTAGAATATGCTGATGACATAGTTTTATTTGGTGAAGACGCTGACAAAATGCAGAGTCTTCTGACCACTCTAAGCAACAATGCAAGCATGTTCGGGATGCGATTCTCTCCCTCGAAATGCAAAATGTTGCTTCAGGATTGGGTTGCATCGACACCCGAACTAATGATAGGGAGTGAAGTAGTTGAGTGTGTCGACCGCTTCACTTATCTTGGAAGTCTCATCAGCCCTTGTGGTCTGGTGTGTGACGAAATCTCAGCACGGATACAGAAGGCTCGACTAGCTTTTACCAACTTGCGTCATTTATGGCGTAGGCGAGATATCCGTCTATCAACCAAAGGACGGGTTTACTGCGCAGCAGTTCGTTCCGTCCTACTTTATGGCAGTGAAACATGGCCGGTAAGAGTAGAGGATATCCGTAGGTTACTAGTATTTGATCATAGGTGTCTTCGAAACATTGCTCGTATATCCTGGGACCATCGAGTAAGTAACACAGTTGTTAGGAAACGGGTACTAGGTAAGGATGGCAAATCAATTGATGAAGTAGTGAAACTTCATCAGTTGAGATGGCTGGGACACGTGTTACGTATGCCCAACCACCGACTGCCTCGACGTGCTATGTTCAGTGGTATAGGAGTAGGTTGGAAGAAAGCTAGGGGCGGCCAAACCAAAACATGGCACAAGTCCATGAAGTCACTGACAAGTGGACTGAGTCATGTTGGTAGGTGCAGACTACTTGGTTGGGGACCGCGAGATGATAGCAACCGATGGTTATAGACCCTGAATGACATGGCTCAAAATCGTTTGCAATGGCGCAGGTGCATCCACTCTTTGTGTTCTCCCAGATTTTGATCTTATTCCTCCTTGTATCTTTTTTTCTCTTCCCAAATTTATTTCACTGTATTATACTCTTTAAATAACATCTCTAAACACTAATTTTCCCGATTACTGCTTATAATCTTATTACCTCTACCACTGTGGGATTTGAATTGACAATTGTATCTCTGTGCTAATGTGTTATGGCAACTCGAACTGATGTACGTACATACGAAGTTCTACGTTGTTACTGACTGACTGACTCCGAGTAGACCCCATCGAAGTTCAATGTGCGATAAGCAAATGTTAAGGTGAGCGAATACAAGCTAATTAGTCTTAAACCTTGCCTTCATCTGATGTTGAAATAAGTCTGTTAGCTCCTAAAATGCACCCAAATGATATTTTCCTACAAACAAATTACCCGTTAAAATTTTGACCGAATGCGGTCCTGCCCTTTTGAGGTCGGTATTTATTATCCAATGCTCTAGTGAAGACTTCTTTCTGCAGCTCACTTACGAGTACCCGAATTCTCATGAATCAGTGATATCCAATGAACTTAAGTGTGACTTTCCCCTATGTAATTCATTTATTTCGAAGTCGCATGTCGTGTGACATACACATGTTGCTGGTTTAGTGCTCAGTTGTCACTTTTGACACCAATAATTCATTTAGTAGCGACATTCCATCACTCATTCGTTCTGATAATGCGGTATATTTGGTTTGGATTATTTTTCACCCTATTTTATTTAACCACACAAATCTAACACTGTACTGAACATAACATTTGGTAGGTTCTGCTTCACAAGTACTGTTATGTATTATTCAGGAAAGCATATCAGGAGAGTTCTACGGTCTCATTAGATGAACTTTTGCTGTGTTTACGATGCTTAATAAAATATGTTAATTACTCTCACTTATGATAGCCGTGCACGGTCTCATTGAAACGTCACTCGCAGCAAGTTGTGGTCGCGAAAATGCGTAGTTTACTGTTTTGTAGAAGATTAACTGGCTGTAAAACGACCTACGGCGTTGAAAAATCGTTTCAACATAGTCTAGGCTAGGTACTAGGCTAGCAGCAGCCTTTCATAAGAAGGACCAATTCAACTTCAATACGTCCCAAGTTTTGGTTAAATAGGCGAGATTTGCTCCTCAACGCCTTAGACATTCCAAAGGGACATAAGGTTGCGACACTTAGAAGTTCCCACCTTCAATGGACCTATCCTTGACCATCAGTTGCACATTTGCAACGCAACTTTCATGAAGCGTGCCAATTGTGGTACTGATTAAAACCATGTACATTCATATCTTATGAATTATCAACCCAGCTATGCAATTTACTACAGTGGATATTGTATCATTTGTATCAATTTGATCTTGCCTGTAAACTGGCATGCCTCGTGTAACAAACTGTTATTTGAGAACAAATCATTATTATTATTAATGTTCGGTATTCAATTTACTTTCATCTCACACGTCAAATTACCGATCGGTTTCGTCTCCCCACGTAAGTCGTATTAATCTTTTAGTTGCTTATATTGAATAAACACTTGGTAAATGCTTAAAGAGACCCCAAAACAGTGGTCTCTGTCTTGATATGTACGTTTATATTTATCGAACTATTAAAATATTTATCAGAACCTAAGTTCAACACAGTTGTTACTGTATATGAAGAAAGTGATATTACGCTCTGCCTATTTCGTTCAATTTCAAAATCTCAGGCACTTTACTTCGTAGCTGCTACGATTACACCATGAGATCTTTTTTAGAATGATAGCATTATAAACTCATTATATGTGGATAAATTGTAAAGTGTTAACGTGTTGACTGTTTTTGGCACTCCATGACCCACCAACATCATCATAAATTATTCTCAAATAATGTGTTGCACGAGACATGCCAGTTTTAGTGGCAGGATCAAAACATTTATAAGCGAGTTCATAACGATTTTTCAACGACCTGATAAGTAGAAGTATGATCAATATAAGTGGTAAAATTATCAAAGCGAACACTATCGATTAACTTCTTCATAATTATTGAATAGATACTGCCTATATTTACCTATTATCGATATACTTGTCTTCGTTAACCGTAACTGTTACTATCTAACGTACATTTTATTGGTATGTATATTTTTCATCCTTATACCACACAATCTATAACCGTGCTGTTTCCATTGGTGGTCTAGAGACAATTTTTCTCTGGCCATGAATTGACGAGGTCAGAGAAGTCATTAGCAAGCAAAAGAGACATTCGAACCGACCTCAATACAAGGGACGACTCTCAAATTTCACCGACACGAGTCCATCATGCTACACCTCGGTTCCAGTTCATGCTCATCTCGAGAACTATCTAGTATTTATTTTCGAACCGGTATGCAGACCTCACATTCTACCATAGGGTGAAGACAACTTCTCGAGTTAGAATGTATAACGTATCGCTATTTCATTCATGTTTGTAGTCTGTCGTCGATGATGATTAGGTGAAATTATAGTGATCGAGTTTCACACCCTCAACTATAGATTAAATGCTGACTCGACTAATCAAAACCACTGACCAACCCTTGCGTAGAGATAAATATGTAGTCGCAGGTAGCCAGCGAAATAAAGATGAGACGACGAATCATCATTTGTAGACCAAGTGCTGCAGATCGTACACAGATAGTGACGAATTAATATTAGAGGAAGGTTTAAATACACGATTTCAATATTTCTCTGTATTACCAAATTTTTGACCTGAAAGCACAAAGTTCAAAACCGGCACAATGTTTTATTCCTAAGTATGAAATTAATTTTGAGCAGTTGTTTTGCGCATTGTCATTATGTAAACACAAACAATCTCACATTTGAAATTTCGGATGTTATCTGAAGGTCGCAGTTCTGATATAAATGATACTTTCTCATACTCAAACGACTCATCAAACACGAGTGAATATAATCCAGGTTGGTTTCCAGCCACTGTTTTAATCTCTAAAATTTATGATGTGTTTCCAATAAATCAAGATCATTTCATTGTCCTTCAACTTAATATCATCTGTAACCCCGTGTAGACATCTCGCGAGTTTTACCTCTATATATATATATCTATGAAATAATCAGATGCTAAATAAGTTATACAAATCACTGGAATTTACATATAGTAGTACAAAGTGTAGGTGTTTTGACCTTGATAAGTCCGTCATTTGTTTACGATTAACTGTGAGCTTTTAATAATTCAAAAACCCTATCGCATTGAAGCCCTTTATGTATGTATCGAATAAATTGACGTTTTTGAGACTAAATGAGGTTTGTAATCGATTTTTTGTCGGGGATGGCACAAAATCTGGGTACGATACCAGCTCCATAAAATGAAGAAGGTTTGAAAGAACGTGATTAGATGAATTTTTTTCGACAAAAATAATAAATTTGATTAGATTTTAAAAGGTATAAACCTGTATATTGGAGTAATTAATGGGCAGCTGCCCTCTCTAGAGAGGGCGAAAATATTTGTGGTATCAATATCCAGGTGTTATTTTTATTGACCATATAAAAATAGCAAGAGCGGTTGAAGCTCATATGTAATGTTTTTTGCACAAAGTGTAAGTTGTCGATAACGTCATACTGCAGAATATGGCGACATTGATAATATGGATTTTAAGCGCTTTGCTTTGATAACATGTATATAACCAGTGGATTGTTTATGAAAAAAACAGTATAAGTCAGGATAAAATTGTGCACTTAAACTATTGCAAACGTAGGAGACAAAACGACTGTCTAACTAGCCACTTAAAGTAGAATGAAAGTCTTGTGTTTAAGGCAAGTACACAGACAACAGTGTATCAACTTGTCCTATGTAATCTCAGGTCGTAAAGATCATTGAAACTTACAAAGTAAAAATAAAATGTTAAAGACTCACCAATTTTTAGTTTGGACGATAATTTAATGATTGAATCCCAATTTTTTAAAGTGTACTCACTTTTCACGGTGTTCAAACAAGTAGAATTGCTAACTATTGTTTTTGTTTATAAATACTTGTCTCGTCCTTTCTAGCAGATTTGTTAAGTCGTCATTAAGAGGCAGAGTAAATTATAAGGTCTCTGGCAATAGGTGGTTGCCACTACATTAAGAGACCAAATTACTTGTAGAGTGCAAATCAGTATCAGATTATGAACTTCAACCAGTTTTGATTACTGCAGTTCACAAAAGACATATCCTAGTTATACATGTCCAGTAGTAATGTTAATGAAAAGAAAGTTCAGCTTGGAAAGTAATTTAACAAAGTGTTTTTGAAATAACACAACAGTCCATGGACTATAGATGCGGTATTTGGTTAGAAAGTCTGAAATTATTATATACGTTTCATATTATACAAAAGAAATAGTACCTAGCCATTAATTAATATCTTATCGCTTTTTTATAAGGTGCTGTTTATTTCCACTGATTTTTCCCATGTTTTACAGAAGCCGATAACAGTAGCAGAAATAAAGATTTGCAGAATAATGAAACACAAATTAGCAGTGAATCTAATGGACGTCTTGATTCAATGTATTTACATTCCAAACAATTTATGACAGGAATATGTGATTATTCCCATGAACTAATTGATCTTGATAAGATAAAGCATGAAAAGCTCTTTTCTGACACTAAGCTAAGTGATATAAATACAATCTATGATCACGCCGCATCAAAACTTAAAGAAAATTTAACTGTGAGTTATTTTTTCAATTGAGCATTAAGGCTGATGTTGATTGTTGAATTTACAACCTAATTATCTTATTTGGGGAATCCCTTAGCCAACGAATTATAAAATAATTTACTACTTTGTTTACATGATAGTGATGTTCATTATGAGATTGAACTAGATAGGGAATCGAGTTAAAATATGTTTGGGGTGGATGAAAAGATATCTATAGCCCATTTCCATAGAATTTGAAAATTTCTTAGTTTGTTTTTTAGAATGAATTAATACGATAACCTGAGATGATAATGAAACAATCATTTTGATTATAGCTTCCTGTGGTACTGTAGCTAGATTTCCAGAATCAGCTTCTTGATGGTGATACTTTTATCACGCTCAAAGGTTGCTTCAGTTATTTTAGTAATCACTTCCGTACACTGATGAGACTTCAAGTAAAAAGATTTACTCAGTCGTTTTATGGTAGTAAAATTTATTTCGAAAGGCTAAGACTTACAACTGTTTACTGTCCAGGTAGTTATTCATCGCAATTTAAGGGAATACAAAACCAAATATTGCTTACAAAGTACAGTTTTTAGTACAGTAATTGTAGTTTCTCAAATGATTTATACATTTAATAGATCCAATGTTGGTTGTTATCAGTATGATTATCAGTTTACGGTTATGAAAATAATAATATTGATGACGTATTATACATTAAAACTACATCTCAAATAATTATATAGTAGAACACTTTATCTGTGTAGAATGATTTGTCGTAAATCAATAGTACTAAAGCAGTCTCTCTTATTATTTGGTCGCATCGCTTAGATGTTTATAACTGAGGAGTAAAACACCTATTTTCTTTCGTAAAGCCCAGTTACTGTAGAAAGACTTGATGACACATGTTCGACTATTAGTGTTTTCAGATTGCTATATGTATTCAGAACAGCTGCTAAATATGTATTATATAGTCTAGGTTTATATGTTTAAGTAGTGAATACACTTGTCAACGAATTTGTAAACCTCATGCTCATTGTGAGGAGTAAAGGGTTTTATATCGAATCATTCCATCACCCAAATCGATAATGGTCTTTGAAATGACTGTATTAGTAACTTTTCAGACAATCAGGGCAAAACGTACCCGAGGTAAGCCGTAATATAGGTTGATAACTGAAAATCTTTGGCGATAACATTCGAGATCAACAAAACAGAGAAGTTACATTTTCTCACTCTAATTCCTTGAATATCAAGTAATTTAGCAATCAAAATTTAATTGTCATCTGCAGCATTTTATTTATTTAAAATTTATTTTGAAATGTTTTATGATTTCATAGTCTTGTTTCACTAGCAAGTTTCATAACGTAAACATTTGCTTTATTTTGAGAGCTCTTAATCCATTCAACTAGTATTTTTTTTCGAGAAACATAGATGCATGTTGATTTTTAAAAATGTTAGTTTATGATACATAAACTAATATTCTTTGAAATGGTTTTAGACAAATATTTAGCATGTATCAAACCTTCAAAATTGTAACGATGGCTTAGGTTTTTGGTGTGTATAAGATATTCTGCATATTGTTTAGGTTTTACAAAACGTGGAAAATCTTTGTACAACGTGTCACCTAACTTTGTCATATCAATGCCAAAGTGGTTCAATAACTGCAAACATGAGTATTTTAACTCACGTGGTTTGACGATTCTCATTTTTATATTAACACTACGGTAATAGAAGCCCACGAAAAGCTACTTTGTCAATGATGTTATAGTTTGACCTTACTGTAAGTTCGCACAGTTATTTTGAGGATAAGATGACTAGAACTTCTTATATAAACATAAGTATTTTATACCAAATGACTTAACTTTCTTCTATGATTTTTATATTTGCCACGTTTTGTATGAGTTTTACGAAACGTCTTCCTATTTATCGGCTTATAATCTCAAACTACGGTGTAAACGATTTTTCATATTATGTCACATGTAATTTTTTGTGTTTTTCACTTAGAGAAAATATCACTGTGATTTATAGATAAAGCGCACATCTTATGCAGATTTCTTAGTCATAATTACAGGTTGATTTCAATTTTATGGGTGAATTTACTTTGATTGATACTGGAAAGTTTTTGTATTTATTTCCCAGCAGTTTTATTATTAAAATTTTGATATTTTAATTACGTTTTGGTAAGTATACTTGGCCATTCGAAAAACCAAGTTAATTCAATCTGCACTAACGTCTAAATTTTAAATCTAAGAGCAGACAAAGCCAAGTTGTTGTGGTTCGGTATAAAACAGAGTTTCTATTCGTTTACTTTTGAAACGAGTTTATAGCAAATAACTATTTCAACGTTACTGTTATGACTTTACGTTGTGACTGCAGGTCTTGATAAGCAGCGTTTATTGATCGATTCGGTGAGAGTGACACGGAAAACACGTAAGGGACGACCTAGTGCCCTGATTGGCCCTGCCCCGCTGTCTGTCCTAGCCCAGTTGAGTGGAGAACAAAAGTCACAGCCTCGGAGATATGAATCACTATATTTCAAACATACTTTGTTTATATACTAGTCAAGCATACCACAGCGTACCATAAAAATAGAAAACAACATTTTGTACAATATTCAACAAGTGAACAGATATCGACCAATAGGAAATGTCCATTTAAAGTCCAAGGACACCATTGGACTTAACATGATAATTATTGGTCTATTCCTGCGCATCCACAACACCTCCCCTTTTTTTTGAAGATCCGGAGTTGATATCCGGATTTTGAAATTTTCTGGGTTCATCCTCCCCCACGAAATAATGTTGGGTCCTCATATTCCCAAGTTAGAATTAATTTGACTTTATTTAACACATAATTGTCAGATTGAACAGGGAAGTCACTGAAAGTGATTAAATAGTGGGGAACAATGTCGCTTGATATGAGGTCACCAACGTTTGATTCTTCTGGAACATTGTCACGGGATTTGTTGAAAATCTCATTTGTAAACAGTTGATCACTGCGATAATCAACATCTATCAAAATTGTATTAGATTTCTGATCATCATTTAATGCATTTAACACATTTTCTGGTACAAAAAGATCTAGATAATAAGATTCGTCAGAATCTCCTGTTGTTGAATGATGAGGACCATTTGAAACAGCTGGATTCAGTGTACCGCACGATTTGTTCCCTGTTCCGTTGTGGGCGGGTACTGCAATTAATTTATGAGCATTTAATAAGAGATCCTCCTGTGAGCTGGGTACATCACTGTCTGTACACGTTTCAGGAACAGTGGGATTTGAACCCACGACAGGGAACGTTTCGGAATTTGACATTTCTGGACAACTGGGCGGACCATGAATAACTGTCTCGTTTACATCACTGGTCGTCCGGGATTCACAGAGGCTTTTATAAACAGCTTCATATGTTCTGCAGTTGTTTTCCAGCTCAGTCTGCAGATGAGAAATGAATTTACCAACTTCTGTTGCACCTCCGAAACATGGAACATTTACCAACAGTGTGCGTAAATTTTCTAAAAAATTTAACTGGCTATTTTTGAAGCACTGCTGTTGTTGCTCAAGTAGAAGCTGTAATCGATCGGAAAAGGTAGTCATTTTTTTTCAGCACCTGCAATGAAAATTAACTGTAGGAATAATGACCAATGTTGCTCAAGGACGCTGGTGACAATCTGGATGCTGATTGGTCGAAACAATTAACCTGAATCTCGTCCAATTACAAGGTTCAAAATTTTTCTCCACCCCGTCGCCAATTGTTATGACTTTACGTTGTGACTGCAGGTTTTGATAAGCAGCGTTTATTGATCGATTCGGTGAGAGTGACACGGAAAACACGTAAGGGACGACCTAGTGCCCTGATTGGCCCTGCCCCGCTGTCTGTCCTAGCCCAGTTGAGTGGAGAACAAAGTCACAGCCTCGGAGATATGAATCACTATATTTCAAACATACTTTGTTTATATACTAGTCAAGCATACCACAGCGTACCATAAAAATAGAAAACAACATTTTGTACAATATTCAACAAGTGAACAGATATCGACCAATAGGAAATGTCCATTTAAAGTCCAAGGACACCATTGGACTTAACATGATAATTATTGGTCTATTCCTGCGCATCCACAACAGTTACCTATAAATGTACCATTTTTCATGAATATCGTGAACTGTGATAGTATATACCGCATTAGATATCTGCAGTTTTACTAGGTCACGCTTTAAATATTGTTCAAGTTAACTGGGAAATCATAAAAGAATGACCATACAATAAAAAAATGACTGTATCTGTATCGTTCTGAATACAACAAAGCATACTCACTTGTCCATATAATAGACAAAAGATTAAAAAGTGTACTCATAAAAATGTAACGAATAATTCGTGTTTATTGTATATCATATAAAAATATTTATTATCAGTCTTTTAAATGCTATAGATTTTGGAGAACTTTTTCATTTGAAGAGACTTTAGCTAATAACGTTTTTTCCTATTCCATCCTTGAAATATATGGTTTTGCTATTTCTTTAGTTCAGCTGAGGTTTTATCACTAGTTAGTTTAACAGAAATATGGTGGGTATTATTTGCATTCCACGCGGATTTACAGTCGTTTATTTCTCTGGAAGAATGAGAGCTGTACATTTTATCGGCTGTTATATAGTTGTCTTTTGCATTAGATCGAGGAAATATTTGTAACTTTGAGATTAAATTAAGTCTATCTCTCTTTCTATATATATATATGAAGTAAGATTCTGACAGGTAGATGGATTTACAAAACCTTATTTTACTGTTTTTAGGTTCATTATCAATCAGTTCAGGAAGAAATCATGTCATCTGTTAAGAGCCTTTTTTCAGTTGAACTAAAACGGTAACACAATAAAACTGTTTTTCAATGTTTTATGTTATAAATAACCGTGTCATAGATAAGTTTTGTTTTTTTACATAAATGTAGCAAACAACGGTAAATTAAAAGATCAATTATCGACCAAAAACACTCTTTTTACCCAAAACTTCATCAGGTTTTAGTTTAATATATATAGAAATATTTACAGGCATACATAAAAATGTTAAACTAACTCACTCTACTTATGAGTTAATGATAACAATAAAATAGATTATATAACCAAATACAATAAGTGAAAGGTATAAACTGATAGTGTGATAATAAGTGTGTTAGTAATGACAAAAATAACAATAGTTCTCAACATAGGAAGTAAGTCAAGGCTTGAAGTAGAGCTTGATGAATACCTAATTGAAAATCATATTTTTCGCTCATATACGTTATTCTAATTTAAAATATGAGAATTTTCAATATTTTGAAATATGAAATATGAAAAAAAGTGATCAGATCACTGCATAGAAAAATAGTGACTAAAAATACTATAATAGTTTAACTGACAGACAACTGACAAAAACCAGCAAATTGGCAGACGAAAGTTATTAAATTTATGCACGGGAATGAAAATACCAGTAGGTAAGGAACAATTAGACATTAGGTAGAACCTTTAATTAATTAAGTAAAACTTTTGATATTTAAAAATTACGAATTATTTTCTACATTATATACGACTAGTTAAATATCTTATATTTTGGTAAGTACATCAGCTGATTTAGTTCAGGTAAAGTAATATTTTGTTCATAAATACCATTACACTACAATACATTATGTTTATAAACCTGCCACCCATTGGTAAAAGTATACAGTTTTAATTGTTGTCTAATCGGTTTTACTGACGTTTATTATATTGAAATTTAACTTAACATCACTAGTTTTTACTCAATTCATTGAACACATTGGTAAATTTTATTAACAATGTATCTTTATTAACTCTTAAAATAACTTGAATTATAGATATCAGTGCTATACTACAATAAATTTATAACGTGATTAATTTTAATCATACATAACTAAATTGATCAATAACAATTCCAATCTATAACACTGGGAGAAGTGATCTTATTTCCACAAACAGCCTAATTTGAATGGTTTATTTATAATTTAATAGTTGAATTCATGAGTCAATTGAAGCTAGACCACTACGGAAGACCTGGAAAAAATTAACGGTCGTTTCGTTCAAGCATGGGACTCCTCAGCAGTGCGCATCCATGACCCCACCTTGCGAGATTCAAATCCAGGACATATCAGTCTCGCGCGCGAACGTTTAACCTCTAGACCACTAAGCCGGCATCCGACGGTGTTAGTGTCTAACTTCAGCTAATCCACATAATTGAGCGACACACCCACCATTGTCTTCAGGAAGTTACTACCTCACAACAGACCCGGTTGGACTCCACTGGTCACTGCTTCTCACTAGAACTCCAAAGAATACCTCTTGGAGACCGCCACTAGTGAGCATATGATGAGTCAATTGACTCATGAATTCAAATATTAAATTATTATAATATCCATAAAACCCCTCTCTGTTTATTTTCAACACTAACAAAGGCAAGTCACAGATTAATAAGAAATAACATATTGCTTAATTATTCAAATTTTAGTCTAATCTATTTATATTAATTCACCTCTTGCTAACATTTAAAGGTTAATTCAATCAGCTGACAATATATGAAATGTCATTACAGGATGCTTTATTTATCTACTTATTTTTTAATCATAGTTTTCACATTATTCTTATGTAATATTTCTTCTAGCCTTATTTCAAACAGATAATTTCCATCTATAAATTTACGACTGTTAGAAAGGTTTATTTTTCAATTCATTTTGTGATGAGCAGCTCTTTTAATTAAAATTTTCCCAACTATACACATTCCTGATTCTATAAAGGATTGATCTCATGATTTTAATGCTTTAATGAAAGCATGTTACATTTAAAACATGGATTTAATAGTCAATGATCCTTGTTTTCAAATTTTAATCAGTTACTGATATATAATAGTTTTTCAATTCCATATACAGTTAGGTATCTTCACATAGAACTCCATTTTTTTTATCAATTACAAATTCGACTCTATATAAGTATGAAATAGTAAATGCATATCAGTGTAAAGCCTCAAATTATGTAACAAATAACTATCTACTATGGATTGTTTTTTTAAGAAAAAAACTAATTTAATAGCATAGCAATGTTTTACACTATGAGCGCTGCTGAGGAGTCCCATACTAGGACGAAACAGCTGTCCAGTGCTTTCAGGTTTTCCATGGTATTCTAGCATTAATTGACTCATGAATTCAACTATTAAATTATTAAGTTATTAATTAAAACTTATTATCATTTTTAGTATAAAAAGTGATATGATTAAGCTTCATGAACAAGTGATCAGTTTAAGAGATCTTGCACGTAATCATGAAGGTACAATAGCTCGTAAAGAACAGATTATCTGTGATTTAACGGATAATATTAATAAGTTAAAAATTCAAATGGAAATAAATTTGAAAAAGGAAAATGCCAAAAGAAAGGTAAGTATTGTTTCACCTTAAAAAGTTTTTTAAAACTTATGTAATAAAACATTTACTAGTATAGAGGTTGTGGAGATTATTAATTTTTTGATTGAAATCATGAACCGATTGATGTTAGACCACCACCTTGGAAACCTGAAAGCACTGGACGTCGTTTCGTCTTATTGTAGGACTCCTCAGCAGTGCGCATCCACGATCCCGCAATTTCGTGAATTGGTTGATGTTAGACACTATCACCATTGGATACCGGCTCAGTGGTCCAGTTGATTAAGCGTTCGCGCGCAAGACCGAACGCACGGAGTTTGAATCCCATGAGCGGGATCGTAGATGCACACTGCTGAGGAGTCCCACAATAAGACGAAACGGCTGTTCAGTGCTTCCAGGGTACCAAAGGTGGTGGTCTAACATCAATCGGTTCGTGATCTCAATCATAATACATTTAATCGATTTTTATGTTTTTTGATCATTAGTGTACACTTCCTGTTAACTTGTATAAGTACATTCACATGAGTGATAACATTTCAGGTTAGATGTCATTTTATTGTCTTTTAATCTATTTGGTAACAACGACAACAAAATATATATTTTGACTTTGATCTAATCATATTTAAACATGTTTCGTTAAAAGTTAATATTTTGATTCAACTTAAAATATGTCCATGATTTCTACCTAAAAGTCATGTACTGAAATGCCATTTAGCTATTTATGGAACATCTTATATCCAATATATATATTATTTAATTTGTTTATTTAGAAAAAGAATTTCAAATGTTATAAAATATTTTCGATTGATGGGATGATAAAATGATGCAAAAGAAAACAGATATTATGTATCTCACTTATTTGTTTTAAATTTTGTATTGACACTTCAAGACGAGATTTCCTTAAATCTGGACTTATGATTATTGACACCAACTTGATCAGTTTTAAGGCTGTAAAGACTATCAATAAGATATTAAAATGCATTTTAGAGTTGAAGAATTGAAGTGTAAAGCACTGAATATTAAATTTCAGTCCTAGTTGGAAATAATCATCTTTGTCATTATATATACCGTGAATTTCTAGATCCAATAAGTTAAATGTGTTAAGATGTATTGTGTCGAGTCCACTGATACGACGAATTCTTCGTTCATCAGCCAGAGAAGTAAATAATCGATGACATATAATTAGTAGTACGTTTGGCGGTCGTCCAATCAAATGTTAATATATACGTTTTCTATAGCCAAGTCTAACGTGGTACATCAGCGAGAAAGCTAGAATTAATAAGGAAGTTATATTGGCTATTTATATAACCTCTCGACCTTTAATTAAACATTGAAAAAGTTACACAAACGGCTTTAACTATTATCGTGCTCTCTCACATATTTCTTAATGAAGACCTTACTTCATTATAAATTGACTAAAGTCGAAAGGTTTAGGGATATCATGTTATTCTGAGAACCTGAAGATCGACCATTTGAACCTAAATAGGATCATAAGTTCTCTCTGTTGGATATTTTTCAATTAGTACAAATTAGCTATCTAGTCATGCCAGGGTTTTAGCATATTATTGACGCGTAGTAATTTATATCAAATAATATTTTCTTAACTGAGACATTAACAGTAAATTTTCATGTTATCATTGCTTAAATTTCGTCTACTTTTGTTAGAAGTCAGGATTGTCACAAATGCCAGATAATTTATGGACGACTATATCATACGAAGGCTGTATTCAGATATTTAAATTTTTGTCTACATAATGTATCTTCATTTTCCATATTGTTTTGTGGGAAAAATAAACAAAATTCATAGTATTTATAAGCAAATATCGATGGTGGCTAGTAGCGGAATCTAGGATGCACGTTTCGTTCTATTTGAGACTCCGCTGCTAACCATTATCCATATTTTCTTATAATGTTTGTGACTTAAGTCAGTATGGAGGCAATCCATACAGGATGCATATATGCTAATAAGTGATCGAACAATTGCAGTTCTAAACAACAATAGGGCGATACAAGTAGACAATACCAAGTGAACTAAAAATTTTATTTATTTATTTTCTTTAAATTTCATAATCTAGTCATTTTGTGTCAAACTTGCTGATCGTTATTATAAACAAAATATTTTAAAACAAGCAATTATTGGATGGAAACAATTCATGGAATACACTTGGAAACAAAGAAATTTTCGACGACTTACTTTGGAAGCTCAGTCTGAATGTATCAAAATTAAACAAGAATTAAATCAGAAAATTCTTCAAGTAAACAATGAACAGATGTATAATCTTATTTATTTTACTCTAAAAATTTGTTAGTTTTTATTTTGTTAAACCATAATTATATTTCAGATAGAAACAATAAAGGTTAACTAACTCATTTCACTTATTGAACTCGATTAGTTTCTTTTTGAGTTTTATATGATCGAAAAACCATCAGTGTTCAGTTGACAATAATACAATCTATCTATCTGTTGTTATTATTATTAATGAATTTATTCAATATTATATTTTCGGTACAATACGGAATTCTCAGCACAAAGTATCTCATCAAGTTTTCTTTCCCTATTTCTTCATCTATCTTGACAATAAATATTGAGTTAACACTAGATAGATGTTAACAGTTCAGGAATCGACATCTGAACAATGATCATTCTTTTCAATGCATATTGACATGCAACACAATGTCTCTGATTGTACTTTTTTGTAAGTTGTACGGTGAAAGATTGTAAACTTTTTATAAACGCGCCTAAATAGGTTATGCGATTATGAGCCATAATGACGTGTTAAGACAGACAAAAGATAGGTAACTTGTTGAGATATGTTGATGTCAGAAACAGGTAGCCCAGATATTCAAGCAGACCGCTAAAGTATTTTTTTAATTGTATTTTTTAGATTTCGTCATCACACTGTTGATTGGAGTGTTATTCTTTAAAATGTACTTATTAATTATGCTGCATCTTTGTATACATTTCGGTTGCTGCAGACTACTTTGCACCTACAATTATCATAGAGCTTTATTAGTTTACTTCAATTGCATGTGGATATGAGTTTTTGTTTGAATTTTTTTTCTAATGATTTATGGTCTACAGTTGTGATTATCCAACAATAGAATATGGTATGGTGTGGGTTACTTATATCCACAAAAGTAGTAAATAATGGTGGTCAAGCATAGAATATATTTCAGTAGAAGATCGATAAGGAAAGAACGGGAACGAAACGCAATTGGTATGAAAATGCATGAACAATTAAATTTGAGATAATGGATTGATATTTTAAAAAGTAACTATTTAGACACTATAACCACTGAATGCCGGCTCAGTGGTCGGGTAGGTTAAGCGTTTGCGTGCAAGACTGAAGGTTTTGGGTTCGAATCCGGCGAGCAGGATCTTGGACGCGCACGGCTGAGGAGTCTTGCAACATGACGAAACGACCGTCCAATGGTTCCAGGTTTCCAACGGTGGTTCATGACCACAATCAAAAACTTAATAGCCTCCACAACTCCTGTACTGATTTATTGTACAGTTCTCAGATTTTAGTAAGATGCTCTGTAGATTCGTGTCAAATACATTCGATTGTCCCCACTCATGTTCTTGTTCACTACAATAGTTTAAATGACCATTCTATTAACAGTAATGTGTATAAAGATCATATTTATAAAAAGTCTAGGGTAGGTAACTACCTGTTGTTAAGATAAAAACAAAGTATAAACTTGATAGATTTATTTTCATAAATATTCACAATGAATTAGTTTGGAGATTATATTTGTTTTAAAAATTTAACAATTCATTTGTTGTTATATGTGTTTCTTTGTATTTCTGTTTAAAAATACTTAGCTGGAGGCTGAGTTAAAAATTAGTCAAAGTGAATTAGAATCAATGAAAGCCAAACAAGCCGGTGAACAAGCTGCACTGAAAACAGCATTAATGCGTGGTGTCTGTGCATTAAATATGGAAACAATGGCTGTATTCAATGAAACTCTACCAAATATGAATAAAGAATTTATAAGTAAAAAGTTTACTGTTGATTCTCAAATTTTAAACAAAAATTATTGTACAGATGATCATTTGGAATTGGCTCAGTTGACATCGAAGAAATTAAACGATTGTCATTTAGATAAAACGATTCACAATCAGTCAGATGAGATGATTTTCAACATACAAGCTGATCATATTGTGCAAGCCACTCATCAAAGTAGTGAGTATACAAACGTTTTAGCCTTAATGCTGCAACATACAAACGGCTATCGTAAGTATTGAATAGGTTGAAGGTCTTTGTTGCTTTGCCTGCTTGTGGGTGCGTGTTCTAGTTCAGTTGATGGTGTCTAGATGTATTCATGTGTCCGCACTCGCTTAGGCATTGTGCTGTAGTTTTGTTTTGGCCAGTTTTCTGTGTTTCGTAATTTGCGCTACAAATGATGCAGTGAGTTTTAGATTAACTTAACGTAGTTTCTATAGTTTATTTTGTGGATATGTTTTTGATTTACAAAATTTACTTTACCCTAGAAACATTCCGGACGATATTCTTAGTTTCATGTTATTCTCATACAGTTGCTTCTAACAATAAATAAAACGAAAAGGAAAAATCCATTTCTTCATGAGTAGAATAACCGTTTTCTCGTATGAACAAACTCTTACATATCTCAATAAGTCCAATACTGAAGCATAGTTTATGTAACTTATTCTGACTGTATATTGCATAATTCTACCACCGAGAGAGATTGGGAAGTTTGTATCCAGGACCTCAGCATAGTTTTTTCATCGCGACTCAACATTACAAAGCAAAACTTAGGAAGTTTATTACTCAAACTCAGTCGTTTTTAGACAATGCATAGTTACTTAGTCGACAGTTTGTAAAACGATTGATTTTTCACACAATCCTTAATATCTAATATAGTCAAACTTCATTAATTCAATAGCAATAAGTGTTGAAACTATGCACTATGAAACAAGCTCAAAATGGGAAATAAAAGCTAGTCGTTGTTTTTTTATGTTGTTTATTGAACTGGTTTTACGTTATCAGATATTTTAGAAATCTCCGGGTGTATAAATGCGATAAATGATCGACATAAATTCACCTCATCACCATACATAGCATAAATATATAGAAAAATGTTTACCCTTAAGAATAAAACTGTATATTCCATTAGATTGGCCTTAACTGAGTAAATATCTGCAGTATTACTGTAGTTATACAATAAACTGAATATCCCAATTGTCCTTTATATTTATTAAGACACTGAATTCTCTAATCAGAACAGACAGAATTCTATGGAGGCATGGCCAAGAGATACAATTCGTAATGTTGAACCATCTTATAGTACTGTGGTAAGAAAAGGCAACTGTGCAAAACCACTTAGTCATTCCACGGAAATTTGCGAACGTTGGTTAGGTCATGTGAGTTATATTGTTGAATGTATTTTATGTTTAATTTTATCGATGTGTTCACCTTTTTTTATTTACAGTACATTGTCTGTACTTAACAAAAAATCTGTGAATTTTTATGTCACCAAACAAAAATCTCCAGATATTATTATTGTCCAGTTCATCATCTGAATTACTGTTACGGAATTGTGGGTTTTTCTGTTAAAGTCTTATGAATTTTAAAATTCATTGGTTGGATAACTTATGAGATATAACTCGAAATTGCCAATGATCTCATTTCAAATCATGATCAAAGTTTTAAATATTTCACAACACTTCATCAGTGAGGTCACAGTCTACATAATTATTTTTTAAAGACAGTTTTCATCACGGATTGAAATCAACTGTAGGATATTAAAAAAAGACCTGGGAAACTGTGAACGAACTTTCCCTATCAATGCTAGACAGCATAGAGCCTGGCAAATACGTGTATCGGTTTAATTTACGGTCGCACAACAAGATCAATATATCAAGACAGATACTAGAATATTAGAAACGATAGCCGTACTCATAGTAGTAGAAAGGAATAGACATACGGAATTCGATTCTACGACTTGTGAGTTCGCGAAATAAAAGGGAATAAATCAGTTTGAAAACCTAAGATCTATGAGGAGACAAAGGGCAAGTATACCTGGACGGTTTGATCGATTAAGAATAATGTCACTCAGCGTTCCCAACCATTAGTCGCGATAATCCCGCTGACCTCAACCAGTTAGTTGGACCTGTCAATATAGTTCAGTCGATGATTTCAAGACCTGATGTCACATCTTGGTTGGGCCGCCCCTAGGTCTCTTCCAACTTACTCCTCCGCAAGTTAATATCTCTCGTTGAGGTAATCGGAGGTTAGGAACACGTAATGTGTCCTAAACATTTCAATCGATGGAGATTCACTGCTTCATCAACCGACTGCCCATCTTTATCTAGTACCCTGTATTACATTTTGACGGAATTTTGTTCTCTGAGGTGGATGGTCTGGTCTTGGAGCTTTCATCGTTCTTCTGAACGACATCATCAGCACAAACTTCAGATAGACTTCTATCTCCGTCAAAATCATCCACCTGAGCTACAAATCTTCTCCACCACCCTGTATTAAACTTCGGTATTGCTTACTCGATGGTCCAAACATACTGGAATATTATTCTTAAGCAGCTATTATCAAAATTTAGTAACCAACAAACATCCATTTGTTAAGGCTGGATTTTAAACCCAAAAACAAACAATTTACCTTAATTATTAAAGATCTAGACATAAATCCATTTAAAAATGTTGATAAAATTTCAATCACTAAATTAAACGAAATTCGTCAAAAAATTAGGCGATTTCTAGATCCAATTCATTTCTAGCATTTGACATTATTTTTAACCATTATCCAAAGTCAAAGTTAACATATGATATTACACTGTCAGTGGCCATTAACGATTAAGACTGCTTAAAAATCACGAACGTAGGTGAATTTACTAAATATACTGTTGTTATTATGGGATTTTCCATACACTATTTATCCACTAAGGATAGAGCAATGTGAAATTACTTTCGACATAGTAGTCAATCGGTTTAAATATCTCAGTCCTATAGGCTGTCAATCGCAACTCTCATAGGCTAGCAATAAATTATAACATTGTAGCATTACATTATGAGGTGTTGAATCCAAAAGAAAAAGCCATCAGTTTCCATTAGTTTATAGATATCCATACGAACTTAAAATTTAGTTCCTAGATTTTTGGCATTCACCTTCAGGCATCCAGCATCATACTATATAAGGCTTATGAAAGGCGGTCACTGTAATATAACGAAAATAATCTTATTAGGTTAAAAAAGGATTTTAATGCTTGAATATTCCTACTATTGGAAATGACAGTGTATTAGAATTATCACAGCCTATTTGTTCTGTGAATCTGTTCTTATTTATCATAAAATGTTACTGATGGATGTCAGTAGCTTAGGATAGTTACTTTTGTCAAGAAAGACGAACAGTAGAAAATCCCTTGTATTCTTTACACAGACTACAGCTTTTACATCAATATATTATACAATGTAATAGGTTTTTATATAATAAACCAGATATTATTCAGGTGTATTAAAAGCCATGAAAATGAATAACACTGTAGAATAGAATTTAATGAGAAGAACATAGACATTGAATTCATGTACTCTAAGTTGTAAGCACGTAAGCTTTAAAAAATCTTTTGGATTAATTAGTGATCGAGCAGCATAATATTGTAATTTTGAAAGTGGGCACTAATATGTACGGAAAATAATTAGACATTTTTCATATGTTACACTTGAAGATAAAACATAATATTCTGAGCGACTCATAAAGAACAGATGTTAATTTCCCTGATGCATAAACTGATTACTGAATAGTAAGCAATGTATTTTTGTTTAATTTTTAAATGTGTTGCATTATCTTCTAATGAAGTACTCAGGATTGATAAGTCTTGCGGACTGAACGCTATATTCGTCTCCTAAGCTACTCTGCAACCCCCAAGCTAGGACTATAGAGAAACCTGAACACGAGAGAGAAGACTCAAAGTATGCGAGAAGCAGTTTACTCCAAGATTCATTTTAATACAGAAAATACAGGTTTTTATAATATTTTTAAATGTCCTTTGGTCTCTAGAAGATTCTGGAGTGCTACTAAACATAGTAGCAGTGTATTAGCCAGCCAATCAGAGCCTCTGCATGTGACGATTCGCTTCCTTGATATTTTTGGCAAAAACTTTAAGTGAACGCTGATTGAATGAAGCGCTTCTTAGTGTTTCCTGATGCTTGCTTGTCTTTTGCAAGCAATTTTCTGGATCACCCCAACAAGGACGAAAGATAAATCACATATGAACAAGTAGGGCCGATCAACAAACTGTTCATGGAGTTATTTTTCTTCGTTTTTTATTATGATTGCAATAAATACACCACAATAAAACTAACCAATATCTAGAAGTATTATTATTATATGATGACATAAATATTGGTACAAAGCGACACCGAATACATATGCACCATGCAAGTCACTTGATTTGTGCGTAGACTATGATACTGTCCGAATGCCTAAACCGAAACAGGTAGTTTTCTTAGGAAGCCACACACGAGCCTTCAACCTAAGGGTGTGATCCACAATAAAGTGGACCAACGTCAGGAGATGCAATCCCGTATTAGCTGGTGACCAACGATTGGTTAATGCACCATTTGTTCCCTAAGGATACTGGAGCCCATGTGCACCATTTGTTTGGAATCAGGTTTTTCCAACTCCTCTAGGTGAACTCTGCATGTCCACCAACCCGGTTAAAGCGCCGGACATTTATTTTTCGTCCTCTCAATTTTTTAAACAACACCCCCACCGAGAGAAGGCAATGAATGAGACACTATTATTCACTTAAATATCTCATTCTAATACTCATAATGAGAATTCTGAATCGTATTGTGATCAGGTCACTTAGTACGACTGTTAATATTGTGATATATATTACGATTCAGCGAAGTGTGAGAAGCGTTTGTTAAATAACTGTTAAAAAAGACTGGAGTCTTAATGTACCATATCTAGAAGTTCTTATGTATTTTTGTCAGGTGTTGTCTTTTTCATTGAAGATCGATCATTTTACAAAATCAAATTGTTATTTAGTGTTTTTATCACCAAACAGTATCGCTTGATGAATCACTAGGAAAACCGATAAGGATCATATATTGTCAACAAATTTCTCAAAATAGCTCAAAAAGCTTTTCATAGGTGTTTAATTTGAATCAATTTTTACAAATAACTTACCACTTATTCAGTTATTACCAGCGTTACTTAATTTATTTTAGAGTGATTACAGTGAGAACGATCCATTGAATTTATCTGGCTTACCGACATATAAGATGCATGATCGTCATTTACATACAATTCAAAGTTTATCATGCCAGGTCGATGAGAAATTATCCAATTCAGATCCAAGTGAATTAGAACATGGCAATCAAATGGTATGCTATTTGTTTAATAAAGCAAACTACTGTTTATATATTTCCTTTCTATTGTCTTTATATAAATTTCATAATGTTCTATTTCAATTTATTATCACTGTATACAGAATAATTAATCCCATCAATGAATTAAGACTACTCAAATAGATTTATGAATTTCCTTTGTTTTACTGTATCATGGAATACAGTAAAAACACCATTTGTTAGTAAGAGGCAAGGTAAACTACTAAGGTTGTTAAGTAGCATGATTATGACAAAAATTTATTATACAAGGAAACAACTTGATTTTACAACTTGATTGCGGCTTATAAGTAAGGTATATTGACATTCCTTTTTTCGACTAGTTTTAGTAGTATTATTATTATTATTTCAATATTTAATGGAATTGATAAAATCCATTTTGAAAAATTTAAACTATGTCTAGCATTTTTCCTTAACCGAAATGTTTTATAGTTTTACAACTTATTTAATGTAAAATTTATCTGATTGTTTGTCTTTTAAAAGATGATACATGGTTGTTGTTGTTGTTGTTTAGTTTAAGGTGATTTAGTTCTTTTCTGAAATATTTACATCAAGCACCGATAATTCCATTTTTAAAAATAAATTTCATCAGTAAGTGATGCTTATTATAGTATCAATGGAAACCTGTTATTGAGACAGAAAAAGTTTGAATACTGAAGCATATGAATTCCATGGACGTTTTAACGCAAATGCCCTGGTATGACCGAGAGTGGAGAGAGTCAGCTCTCCCTCACGAAATGCTCTCACATGACCACGTGCACACAACCACTACCAGCGAAGTCCTACTCACTGCCTTCTCGTGGCAGGGATGTTGTTTACGAAACTGAGAGAACGAAAAGAGAATGTCCGGCACTTTAACCGAGTTGGTGAATATGGACGGTTCACCTAGAGGAGTTGTGAAAACCTGGGCTCCAGTATCCTTAAGGAACGAATGGCGTATGAACCAATTGTTGGTCACCAGCTACCACGGGACTGCATCTCCTGACGTTTCTCAGACCTTTAGATCGAAGAATCCTGGTGTGGCTTCCTAAGAAAACCACCTGTTTGGGATTGGGCACCCGGAAAGTATCACAGCCCTCACATATATCAAATGAGATCTGTGTGGCGCATATGTATTTGGTGCCTCTTTGTACCAATGTTTGTGTTTAAATTAATAAATAAAGTCAGTAGTCTACAGAGATCCTAAAACTCAGACTTCAGAGAAATAACTTATCTAGTGGTCTACAAATTGATAGTATATCGTGATACATATGTCTCGTCACTAAATAAATGTACCAGAATAACACTAAATTCATTCAGTTCGGTGGTTTTGTTCACTGCTATCTCACAGTATCGTATTGTAAAGCATCGAATAGAATGTGGGATGATTTTTTCTGATTTCTGGATACACCTGAAAAATGTGCTCAGTTTGACTATAGAAATATTTGTACTCACTGAAAAACGTCCCTGTATTTTGATAACTTCTGGGATCATTTCCATTTCTATAAAATGCAGGATAACAAATGGTTACCAAACAAAGATTTAGCTCCGAACAAAAATTACGACACATCTTTTCGAATCAATATAAACTCTACGAATTCTAAACATGAAAAACCCGATCGCAGCTTGTATGATGGAAGAACTCATACGACAGTTGAAAATGCTAAAAAGATGTTAAGTTCACGAAATTCATCAAATCGTTTTTATTCCACGGTGAAACAAAATAAATTATCATCATATCCAAGACCTCAAACTGTACAGCATGGAATACCTACTGGCAGCTATCCAAATGGTTCTACAGCTATGGTTAATATCTTAGTTCACCGACATCAAACCGGTAATCAGGTAAACTATTTTATATTTTTCTCATGTTTCTCACTTATCTTTTTTAAAGCTGTTTGTACTTCATATAATAGTTGAACAACTACTTATATACACATAAGTAGTATATAACGATAGTCAGGGATAGGATGTGTTTCAGTAGAAGATCGATAAGGAAAGAACGGGAACGAAGCGCAATTGGTATGAAAATGCATGAACAATGGAATCTGAGACAATGGACTGATATTTACAAAAGGAATAGGCAATTTTGAGACAGTGGATTGATATTTTGCAAATTATCTATTTGTTGTATAGATCTCAGATATTTGTAATCTTGTGCCCAGGTACATTCGATTGTCCTCACTCATGTCCTCGTTCACTACAATTTGGGATAACATATTTCCTAATATAACATATTTTACATAAGTTATTGCTTTTTAGTTAATCTATCAAATACAGAATGTTTACGAAGACATAAACATGATGCATTGGTATAAGTAGTATAGCTATCTTATGTTTTAACTCCACTCAACCGAATCAAGTTTGCTGGTCACGATAATGTCTAGCTTTAGCATAGTAGAGTAACTGAAAGATTAGAAAGTGGATTTGTACACGGTTGCTGAGTTGTTTAAACACATATTTTTGAATGAAACACTACTATTCACTTAAATATCTCATTCTAATACTCATAATGAGAATTCTGAATCGTATTGTGATCAGGTCACTTAGTACGACTGTTAATATTGTGATATATATTACGATTCAAAAAAGTGTGAGAAACGTCTGTTAAATGACTGTTAAAAAAGACTCGAGTTTTAGTATACCATAAAATTTTAATAGTAAGAAAGGTCAGTTCTTCTTTTTTGATTTTATCAGACAAGATCATTTTAAGTAGCTTGATTACTCACTTATTCGACACTGAACTTGAATAATTAAACATGGATAAGTTAACGATATCGTAACTGAACCTCTATTTTCAATAAACAAAACGGATAGTTAATTCTTGCTACTATATCAGTTCAATACTGGATAGGTAGTGAAGTAGCCGCACGCGTTGACAAATTCACTTATCTTAGAAGTCTGATCAGCCCTAATGGGTTGGTGTTTGACGAAATCTCAGCGCAGATTCGAAAAGCTCGTTTAGCTTTCGCAATTTTACATCACCTATGGCGATGGCGAGATATCCATCTTTCAATTAAGGGACGAGTATACTGCTCGGTAGTTCGTTCTGTTCTACTTTATGGCTGCGAAACGTGGCCATTAAGAATATAGGAAACCAGTATTTAATCACAGATATTTTAGATATATTGCTCGCATCTGCTAGGATCACCGGGTAAGTATTAGGGAATGATGGTAAATCAGTTGATGAGGTTGTGAATCTTCATCGACTGAAATGGTTGGGCCACGTGTTACGTATGTCTGAGCATCGATTACCACAACGCGCAATGCTGATTAGTGTTGGATATGGTTGGAAGAGAGTTAGGGGTGGCCAAACCAAAACGTGTCATCAGTCACTTCTAGTCTTAGCCATTTTGGTAGATGGAGACTGCTTGGTTGGGGTCGGCGTGACTATCGTAACCAATGGTTGGAGACTCTTGGTGACATGGCTCAGAATCGATCACAATGGCGTAGGTGTATACACTTTCTGTCTTCCCTTAAACTATGAGATTAAAATAACTTCATATCTTTCTTTCTACAAACTGATTCTTTCCTTATATACAATCTTTCTTTTATATATTACCAGCACTGAATTAACTACTTCTATGAATCCGGTGTTCATCTTGTTTTGCTAATGAGGTTTGGGAACTTGGACCGATGCATATATGTGCCTGGTCCTACGTTGTAGCTGACTGACTGAGGTGATTGTTATGTAAATGGTTTGAAATTTATTTGTTCCACAAATTTATTTTCACGTTAACTTATTATGATTTCTTATAAATATTTTGATCATCAATATCATTTCATGATAAAAATAAAATAACCATCAAATTTAGTCTTAATAAATTCTTTTATAAATATTTCCCTTTTAGATAAATTCAACAGAAAATGTAAATACTCATAAGCATACAACTAATTCAACAGGAGTACACTATTCACATTGTCAACATAATCTTTCCTCAACACCACGTTTATATTCTGATTCATATTCTCATAGACATGTTTAAATGTATTCAAATGTGACCTTTTTACTTCTTATTTATATAATTGATGAAGGTATAGTTAACTAATATATTAATGTATTCTATTATCATATTTTCATACGTTGCTAGAATGATCTATAAATAAACCTTATTTAAATGTTGTGGTTATTCTTATGTAAGTTCACTTATTTCTTTGAAATATACACATATATTTTTTTGTAGTAGTGTGGTGCGTACTACTTATATTGATAAAAGTAGTATATGACGCGAGTCAGCAATGTAATGTCTAGCAGAAGATGGGGGAAGATCAAGAAAGCAAGAACGGTTATAGAATGCAATTCGTATAAAAATGCAAGAACAATGAAGTCTGAGGCATTTTGAAACAATTGGTGGACATTTTGCAAATTAACGATTCGATATATGGTTCTCAGATTTTATAGAGATGCTCTGTAATTTCGCATTACATGCATTCGGTTGTCCCCATCCGCGTTCTACCATTTACAATGAAAATATGAATCTTTCAAGGTAACGGAATTGTGTTGGATCCAATTTATTGAATGATCACTGATAATACAGATTTAAATTACTTCATCACTAACCAGCTTTATAAACAATCAACAATGTTTCAAGTTTGACCGTGAAATATATACATAAACTATTAGTAAAAATTGTAATGATGCATGAAAAAAAAGACTGTACTCCGTTTACTAGTTTACATTTAATTATTTCGAAGTTAATATTCATTTGATAGACTTAATTGTTAATGATATCAGTTTGTTTCTTATCTAAACTTTCAAAAAACTGGATTCTCGATTTCTAAAAGTCAGAGAAACACAATATAATTACTAATTGATTTAATGAACGAACATAGAGATCCTTAGGAAAGAATATTAACTTGCTTGTATTTACTAAGTACGCAAGCACACAATAAAACAGGTTAAATTTTATTGTTTTTCTTAAATAGCGCTTTACGTTGCAAACCATTGGGAAAGATGCTACAGAATAATCAAGAAATCCTTTTGCACCCTCTTTGTAGCTGATGAGTAATTTAAAGGAACTATTAACTTAGATTAATGAAAATGTATTTTATTGGATTACGGTTATACAATTTCATGACACTGTACTCAACGAGAAACTGGACGGTCTAATATTTATCTTTTGTGTAGGGTGATCGGTGATTATTACTGAAAAGTCTCAAATTTAGATGAAATAACTAATTTCTTCTGATATTTACTTGTTCTCTAGATGATGTAAACTTATAATGAAAGCTTTTTTCGAACTGTTAAATAATAATCGCATTATTTTTAACAAGAAACATTTTATGACGTAATCAATTTCGTGAGATAGTATACTTTACTTTTAACTTTTACCGAGTTTCTGTATCATTAGGAATTTTCCTTACATTTGAATCCTGCGTAGGACAGTAAATTAGTAAAACGTCTCAAGACAGGACAATGTTTGTGTCTTATATTGAACAAGGACTCAATTTCAGATGAATGTTTTGGAGTCCTTGACCAATACAAACGAAGAAGTTGAAAGAAACGGCAGGATGTTTATCTATGAGACCATATTAATGTGAATGATTGAAAAATTGATGTTAAGATAACCCAGTTGAAATAAAAATATAGGTCAGATTTGAGAAACTGACACTTTCAAACTTATGAAACAACTTCCCATAGTTGTCCATAGTTTATGATGCAGCAGCATGTTGTTCCTCAACGTATTGAAAAATTTAGAAACCAACGTATTTGTGAAATGGTTGACAGGTGTACTGAATGAACGGCAACTTGAACACGAAAGGAAAAGCGTGAAATGTAATAAGAACGTTCTATCCCAAGGTTCGTTTATGTGAAGAAAATCGAGAGTATTTATAGTATTTCGGATGACCTTGGGCTTCTGGAACCATAATAAACATAGCAGGAGAGGCGATCATCCAATCAGAAATGTGACACTTGATCCTTCACTATCTAGGTGTTTCTGAGACTTTTCTATTGAATACTGATTGGATAAAATGGTTCACGACGATTTCAGCGCCCCTCTGGATTTTTTCGAGAAAAACTTTAGATCACTGAAATAGTCATATATACACCTAATGAGAAATCTTAAACTACGAAAAACACCTATTGAGTGTTTTATGGTTTAGTGGTTTTTTACAGCAGATATCAAGCGATGAAAGCTAACTTCAAATTAAAAAATCTCCCGAAATAATAAATTGAATCGTTTAAAATTGTTTGGATTATATTATTTAGGATGGTGGAATCCTGGATGCACCTATATTTCTGTCCTGGACACGTCATCTGAAAGAATCTGCATTTCAGTATTAAGATTCCCAGTGAAGTTCAATACCACGATAGCCACTACCCGTTCAAAAGGGATATTTATTAATAATTGTTCGAATAATATAGTGAGTAGAGTGTAATTCTGATAATTAAATAGTCCAATAAACAAACCTAGGGGAGCTGAATCACATATTTCGTCGTTTATTCGTCCTTATATCACAAAAGTTGTTCTTTAATTATATTCTATTTTGGGATGTTTTCAATTTTCATACATTGATTAAACATACGAAAGTCAATTTTTCTATTAAAAAAAACTAGCGAGGCCATTTTGCGTAAGCATTTTGACTACGATAAGTCCACTGTCGAGCACCAACGTAAATCTACGGCTTGTCAACTTTGAGGATGATATGCTTCAAATATCGGTAAGTGCTCTACTAACAAACCAGTTGTTAGCCTACCAACAGTACAAACAAAATATAGACATTTATTGATTGAAGTTTTTGCAGTTGGTAATCAAGGTCAAACATAAAGAGCATCTAGATATTCAAGCATCTCCTACAGGTAGTAGCATCCTAGCTTCCTGAATTGTTTGATTGAGTAAGAGAATACGACAAGGAAGTGACAGATTGAATGATACGACACACTGAGTAGATTCCTTGAACACCATGTCCGTAATACCGTATTTAAAAGCTAGTTGTGATACAAGATAAATAAATGTATATCAGGAAAAAAATCGTAAATATATATTAGATTATTACAAGAGAATTGACTAATTGAAGTAATGCTAATACTAAAAAACTAGGCTAGTCGACTTAAATCGATAGTCTGTCAAATACGGTTTTAAATGATTGAATTGAACAATCGCAACTGAAATATCTCAGTGCTGTCGTTTCTTAATACGATAAAGTGTGGTAGCTCACAACTCTGAGAAGGCATCAGCATCTTTGAAATGCCACACACGACTTACTGATGAGTATCAACAAGCAAAAACACCAAGTCTAAAGCTTCGATTACACTGGCATCATACTGTAATATCATTATACGCAATGAGTCAATCCAGGCCAGTCAAACAATCATAACGTTGAACCTGGTACGTATGTACATCGGTTCAAGTTGCCATATCCCATTAGCACAGAGAGATGAAATTGTCAGACCGAATCCCAGAATAGTAGAGGTAGTAACAGTATCAATGGTAACACGAAAGATCAGGCATCAGAGACACGACTCAAAGAGAAACTATACATTAGTGAAATGAAAACAAAATAGTTATGAGGAATTTAGAATTTCAGGATTTGGGGAAGACAAAAAACGGATGCACCTGCGTAATCACAAACGATATAAAGCCATGTCATTCAAAGTTTAACCATTAGTTATGATAATCACGAGGACTCCAACCGGATAATCTACACCTATCAACATGGCTAAGTCCAACTGTCAGTGACATCATGGACTAATGAAATATTTCGGTTTGGCCGCCCTTGGCTTTTTTTCAACCTACTCCTACACCAGAAAACATCGCCCATCGAGGTAGGCGGTGATTGGGCGTACGTAACACATGTCCCAACCACCTCAGTTGATGAAAATTTAATACCTTACCAATCTATTTCAAATCCTTATCTAGTACTCTATTCACAACCCCGTCATGGCTTACTCCGTGGTCCTAAAATGCACAACCCTGACGAACACCACTTGAAGCAACCAATTCCGATGATAGTTCGCCATCAGCTCTGACTCGACCAGTAGTGTTCAAGTGGAGAGTCTGTACAATGTTAGTATACTTAGTTGGTACGCCTTTCAATGACAGACACTGCCACAGAACCTCATGATCAACGGAGTTGGACGCCGCCCTGAGGTCGAGGAATACAACTAGTCGTACATCAAAAAGTATGTCCATGTCCCCGAATCTGAATATTTGGTCCATACATCCACGTCCAAGTCTGAAAATGGCCTGGTTTTTTCGGGTTCGCTCTAGTCAGACGTCGAAGTATTACTGAGGCTAACATTTTAGACACTACATTAGTTAAACTGATTGTCATAAAAGGACTTTTGTCCTTCCTCATGGACTGGGACGATCAGCAGTCCAGACCGGTCAGATGGGATAACGTACACTCCCGAGACTTTAGCCAAGATTTCAGTTAATCTAACTGCTAAAACTAGACTACCATCCTTAGAAATCTCAGGGGATAGTATTTAAGGCTCTGCCTTGCTTTAGATTACTTACAGTTTTTTCAACCTCAATAAGAGTTGGAAGACTTACATCAGTTTGCCAGATAGTGGGCAACTAAAGTGTGGCTGAAGACCAGTTGAACCATTCCTTAAAGTGTTCTGCACATCGGTTCAATCTCCTGCATTGAGAGTGAGTAACAGTCTCGTCTTCGTTTGAGATAGTTTCACTCACAATGGGATTCCCAATACCTGTTAACTTGATAAGTTTGCACAGTTATCTACTGTCACATATCGCTGCTGCCTTTTCCACATCTGCTGCTTTCGTCGCCGACCACTGCTTACGGTCATTTCACGCTTGACTAGCTCGGTCTCTAGTTATTCCTGAAATATATTCTGAACTTCTTAATCCTAAAATTGATCTTAAAGGAGTTTTCTTGTTGTGGCTTTTCTACATCCAGTAAGACACAGATATATACGTGATCGAACTAGATCATGACTCAAGTCTAAACATGTGCTTCAAGACGAGCGAGTTTCCTATCGGGTCCCTCCAACAATAGTTAGTGGCAATATAATCTGAGT